GGATACAGCCCAAGTGAAAGGACAAAGTAACCCTAAAGGTACAATTATGTACTTTAATTTCTGAGAGTGTAGAAAGAGATTAGTTTTCAGCTGTCGCTTGCATACTCATGCATGTTTGCATACTCACATTCAAAAAATAAGTGATATTGTTTCCTAATCAGAATTACAGAATGTGCATTGTGAAGAGATGTCCAACTTAAAATTTTAGAGTAAAGAATTACAGGGATAGTACATATGAAGAATCTTATAGTAAAGTTATTTAATCTTGTTAGGTAACAGAAACTTGTTAATACCGGCCCATATTTTAATAGTAGAAAGAAAAGGGTCATTTATTTTCCACTTATAAAATGCTTTAGGATGACAACTAAACTTCTTAAGGATTTTTCTAATCCAGAAATTGTTACATTTAACATTAGAAAGCTCCAGACCTCCAATACAAATTTTTGGCATTTCACATTTTGAAGATCTGTAACAATCCCTAACCGAATGTAACAGTTTAGGTGAAATAGAATTAATAACCCATTCATACACTCTAGGTGAGGTATCCACTTCAAAGATTTCTGAAAATTCAGAAGAGGAATAGAAGTTACCATCCTTTTTTAACAAATCCAAAACAAAAATTACACCTTTGTCAAAGCAGTTTTTAATAAAGATAGATTTTTTTCCAAGCAGCACATTCTGATTAAGAATTGATTAGTTCATCTCTCGAGTCTTTCGAATGGTTCGTTCTTTTGTCACGTGCCGTGACAGCATTGGATAGAGAAATTAGTTAATTTACAAGCTTCCTTACAAACGGGTGCATAGTTATTATTATTATTATCATCATTATAATTATTATTTACTCTTATGGTGCGTTCACACCAGACGCCAAGCGAATATGCGCATCGCGGCATGTTTTTCGTGTCACTCGCGCGAATAAAAACAGCGCGATCAACTATGCTGGAGATAACTACAATCGCTGTTTTGTACCTGTTGTCAAAAAGTCCCAAATACAATGGAAAGCCAAACGCCGACGTGTCTGGGTTCACAGCACCATCCAGAGGAGGATGAATAACGTTAGGATCCTGTATTAATGTGTGTTACATTTTACTACTGTATATATATACATTGATATTACTATTATTTTTATTATTGATAGCAGCATCTCTGTAGCCATGCTAATAAAATACAACTACTACAACTGATTTTAATTGTTTTCTATGCTCCAGACCTTTATAATAACAGACGGCTGCAATAATGCTCTCTTCTATTGTCTGATTCAAGTGCCTATAAGCTCTTCGCTGATTGGCTGGCGCGAGAACGCGTTAGGCGAATTTTCTGCTCAAGTTGAAATTTTTGAACTTGCGCGAAAGACGCGATTGAGGCGAATATCTCGCGTTCGCGTCGCCTGGCGCGAATTCGCCTCTATTCGCGTCTTTGCATTGACTTTGTATGTAATCTACTCACGCGAATAATTAAATTCGCGTTTGGTGTGAACACACTGTTACAGTTACGTAATGCGTTTCTGGTCTCAAATTGTACCTTTTTACTTCTTACAGTTTATAAATGTGTGAATTTCTGTCATGATGGTTATTTTCCATAACACTGAATGTTGTAACAAAGGTAATAAAGAGTTGGTTATTATTATTAAGTCTCTTTCCGGTTCAGACTGCATAGGGTAAGCTTATGGGGCTGTCACGTGATGAACGAGTGACTGGAAAAACCCGAAGACTCGAAACAGGTGAACTAACTACTTGACTAATTCCAGTACAGAACCTATAGGATGTTGCGCATGCGCGACTGAACGAATCACTCCCCGAGACGACTCGTTCCTCCCGAGTCACATTAAAGATTCGTTCAAGAACGACCCAACACTACTCAATATACGAGTACATGAACACATAAACAATCTCTAGAACTGTCACTTCATGAGCATTTTATTATTTTGAGAAAACTATCGTCATATATACAAAGAGACACCAATGTTTCAAAAAGACACCAATGTTTCAGGAGTTTAGTACACAGAATAGGACACATTATTAGATAACCATATTTGAGTTGATGTATATGCTTTTATTTATTATTATTTTTTTATTAACTTTTTTTCCCCAAACCATTGTTAGATTCAGTGTTTCCTGTAGTTATGCAAAGATTTCTTATCTTTTAACTATTTCTTATGATTTTAAATCTGCATTGAACTTCAGATCAAGACGGTACTAAAGTCTGCTTTTAAGGTGGATGTGTTCAAATTTGATCACCTTAATTCAAGTGAGGAAGAATTTTGCAAGTCTGACAGTGTTGAGCACTACTGTAAGGTTAACCCTGCATGGTGTAAATGTTTGAAAATGATTAACAGTTGCAAATAAATATTTAATAGAAATTTAGAAAAGTAATCCAAAAGTAATCAGTTACATTACTTTAATAAAGTAATTGAAAAAGTTACACTACTATTAAATTTTAAATAGGGTAACTTGTAATCTGTAACCTATTACATTTCCAAAGTAACCTTCCCAACACTGCATGTCACCCTGTGTTTGTGGCTCTTTTTGAGGATGTAAGACATGAAGCCAATCTCTCAGCCAGGAAAGAAAACCCTGAGAGTACATAAATAATATTTCACATTACTAAGCAACTGTGTGCTCATACTAGCACCACTACACCCTAGGGGTTGCACCGACTAATTGACTAGTCGACTTCAATGCTCTGCCATGACGCTTTTAACTTGACGTCGACTAGTCGCTGGTCCTATAGAGGGCGCAACAGGATAAGAAATCTTTGAAGGACTTCCACATTTACGCCCCGTTTCCAAACAGTTCAAATGACAAATAAATTTATACTCTGAAAGCGCTCCACAAGACATGTGTGATTATATTACTGGATGCTCGAAATTGAACAGAAGAATGCACGTTTTAAACAGCTTATTGTACAGGTAAATTAATCGCCATTCTAATCTAATGCGCTGCTGCGCTGTAACGCACACACATAGGCTACAAGACAGGAGCTCGTACATCACGCGCACAGAATTATTCAGCGCGGAAATGTATTGTCAACACTGTTCTGTGATTTCTCAATAAAATAGCGTAGAAACTGAATAGTTCTAGCATATATTTCTTAATAACTAATTCCCACAGCTTCACTACTAGAAGAGAGACGCTGCCAGGTAGAATTAATTCACACGCAATCGCTCTCACTAATGCATTCATATTAATGTAATCTTCACTGTGCTACTTTATCTGTATCTGATTTAGAACGAGCAGAAATCTGTGAGAAATATAACGACCTAAAGACAAAAGAACTGATAAAAAAAGATGTTATAGGAGCAATAGCCGTGGGCAGCGCTGTGTCATATGCCATAGCTGTGCACAAGGTGTTTATCTCAGCTCCAGACTTATTTGTTCATTAATGCCGTCATCAGCGACTAGTCGACTTCGACTCGACTTTCATCACAAAAAAGTCGACTTTAAAAAATCAGAAGTCGTTCAAGCCCTACTACACCCACATTTGATAGAGGAACACGAAAGGAACTGCTGGGCAAGAACATATAACTGTTGCATATACTGTAAAAGTTGTAGGTGTTTAAATTCAGACAAATAAATGTTCACGGTGTGTACTGGATTCATATTAGAATATTTCGGATGCAGTCTTAAAAGGGCATTATACTAAGGGAGATTATGCAATAAGTTATAGTGTGGTTCTGATAAATATAACACATCTACTAAGACTTTACAGGGCTTATAGGGCTTTTTCCACTACCTTCTTTACAGATCCTGCTCATGTAAAGCGATATGACCAGTGTCCGTTTTCTTATACATGGATATTCTTAATGAGCCATTAAGTTAGCTGTTGCAATAAAAAAAAAAAATCTTAGTAGTTTGCATATCCATTATATGTACACCTTAATTAGTACTGCGTACATAATATAACCTAATTCAAAAGTGTATACTTAGGTTTTTAATAATGAAACCGAAAGATTAGCACTGTTAGAGAGCTAATTTTTGGGTTTAACTTACCTCTCATAATCAGTCATAGTAACATAGCTGATTTTGTCTTATTCAAATGGGTGCTCTAATGATCTATTGTACCCGAGACATCCTACAACACACTGCACATAATATTGTCTGTGATCGACTATTTTGACCTGGCCTATTCATCACGTATCGCATCGACGTTCGATTAATGTAGACTAGGGATTGTGCTAGTCGTTTAACCGGAGCTGAAACAAATCGAGGATGATATCTTTTTCTTAGCTATAAACTTGAAAAGTATTCCACAGGTTGTGGCCTTTGGCAGGTAACGTACATTTTATTTAAACATTTATCTGTAATATACATTGACAAAACGCGCCCATATTTGTTTATTTTAAGCTTTGGTAATGAGTTTAGCGTATGTTATTAGCTGCTTTAGCTCCAAACGAAAAATAATAGCATTAAAATAGCAGCATTATATCAGGCTTATTATGTGCACTTCAAACTGTATATTGCCATCAATGCGAGGTTACATAGATGAACAACCCCCCC